GGTTTTTGATGTTCTCTGGCCGATTTTTGGGCTATTTTCGGTGGTTTGGGGCTGATTTTGGGGTATTTTCAGTGTATTTTTGGGGGTTTTGGGGCTTTGGGGTTGATTTTTGGGCTATTTTCGGTGGTTTTTTGGTGTTTTTGACGTCCCCAAGCCGATTTTGGGGCTATTTTGGGCGATTTTTGGTGGTTTTGGGGCTGATTTTTGGGCGATTTTCGGTGTTTTGAGTTTTTTGGGGGCTGGTTTTGGGGTATTTTTGGTGCTTTTTTGGTGTTCTGGGGGTTTTATCCCCAAGCCGATTTTGGGCTATTTTGGGCGATTTTTGGTGGTTTTGGGGCTGATTTTTGGGCGATTTTCGGTGTTTTGAGTTTTTTGGGGGCTGGTTTTGGGGTATTTTTGGTGCTTTTTTGGTGTTCTGGGGGGCTCTTGGGACGATTTTTGGGCCGTTTTCAGAGATTTAGGAGCTGATTTTTGGGCTGCTTTCAATGTTTTTTGGGGGTTTTCCGGCTGATTTTTGGGTTATTTTCAGTGGTTTTTGGGGATTTTTGATGTCCCGGAACCGATTTTGGGGCTATTTTCGGTGGTTTTGGGCTGATTTTTAGGTTATTTTTGGTGGTTTTTTGGGTTTTCTAATGTCCCCGAGCCGATTTTGGGGCTATTTTCGGTGGTTTTGGGCTGATTTTTAGGTTATTTTTGGTGGTTTTTTGGGTTTTCTGATGTCCCCGAGCCGATTTTGGGGCTATTTTGGTGTTTTCGGGGTGCTTTTGGGCTGATTTTGGGGCTATTTTTGGTGTTTTTGGGGTGTTTTTTGGTGGTTTTTGACTATTTTTGGTGTTTTTTTGGGTTTTTTGACATCCCTGAGCCGATTTTGGGACTATTTTTGGGCTGGTTTTGGTGATTTTGGGGCTGATTTTTGGGCGATTTTCAGTGGTTTTGGGGTGGATTTTTGGGTTATTTCTGGTGTTTTTTGGGGTTTTTGACGTCTCCGAACCAATTTTGGGGCCATTTTTGGGCTATTTTGGATGGTTTTGGGCTGATTTTTGGGCTATTTTCGGTGTTTTTTGGGTTTTTTGACATCCCCGAGCCGGTTTCGGGTCTGTTTTGGGCATTTCTGGGGTGTTTTGGGGCTGATTCGTGGGGTTTTTTGGGTTTATTTTTGGGGTTTTTGACGCCCCCGAGCCAATTTTGGGTCTATTTTCTGTGGTTTTGGTTTTTTTCCCTGGCTTTTGGGCTGATTTTTGGGTTGTTTTTGGGGTTTTTTTGGGGTTTTTGATGTCCCTGAGCCAATTTTAGGGCTGATTTTTGGGCTATTTTTGCTGGTTTTGGGGTTTTTTGACATCCCCAAGCCGGTTTTGGGGCTGTTTTCGGTGGGTTTTGGGCGGATTTTTGGGGTATTTTCGGTGTTTTTTGGGTTTTTTGACGCCCCTGAGCCGATTTCGGGGCTGTTCTGGGCGTTTTTGGGCTGTTTTCGGTGGTTTTGGGGCTGATTTTTGGGCGATTTTCAGTGGTTTGGGGGCTGATTTTTGGGCGATTTTTGGTGTTTTTTGGGTTTTTTGACGTCCCCAAGCCGATTTTGGGGCTGTTTCAGGTGTCTTTGGGGTGTTTTTGGGCTGATTTTTGGGGTATTTTCGGTGTTTTTGGGGTTTTTTGACCCCCCCGATCCATTTTCGGGGCTGTTTAATGGCCCCAAAATATCCCCAAAATGTCCCAAAATGGCCCTAAATACCCAAAAATTGCCCCAAAACCTCCCAAAATGTCCCAAAATACCTGAAAATGGCCCCAAAATGTCCCAAAATACCCAAAAATGGCCCCAAAATGTCCCTAAAATACCCAAAAATGTCCCCACAACCACCCCAAAATGTCCCTACAATGTCCCAAAAAACCTGAAAATGGCCCCAAAATATATCTGAATGGCCCCAAAATATCCCTAAAATGTCCCAAAATACCCAAAAATGGCCCCAAAATATCCCTGAATTCCCCCAAAATGTCCCAAAACCTCCCAAAATCTCCCCAAAATCTCCCTAAAATGTCCTAAAATGACCCTAAAGTGTCCCAAAATACCCAAAAATGGCCCCAAAATGTCTCCAAATACCCCAAAATGGCCCCAAAACCTCCCAAAATCTCCCTGAAATGGCCCAAAATATCCAAAAATGGCCCCAAAATGCCCCAAAAATCCCTGCATGTCCCCAAAATGTCCTAAAATGCCCCAAAAATTCCCCGAAATATCCCCAAAATGTCCCAAGAATGTCCCAAATTCCCCAAATCTCCCCAAAACAGCCCCAAAATGTCCCACAATCCCCAAAACCCCCAAAATGGCCCCAAATCTCCCCAAAAAATGTCCCCAAAATGTCCCCAGACCCCTCCCAGTCCGTCCCAGTCCATCCCAGTACCTGTAGAGCTGCTCCGGGTCCCCCCCCGGGCCCTGGGGGGTCAGCGGGGGGTCAGTGGGGGGAGGGGCCCCAAAATCCCCCCAAATTTCCTCCCAAAACCCCCCAAAAATTCCTCAAAATTTCCCCAAAAAATCCCTCCAAAATTCCCCGAGTTTTTCCCAAAATTTTCCAAAATTCCCCCCCGAAAATCCCCCAAATTCCCAAATCCCCCCAAAATTCCCCAAATTCCCCCAATTTTCCCTCAAAAATCCCAAATTTTCCATGAATTCCCCCAAATTGTCTCAATTTTCCCTCTAAATACCCAAATTTTCCACAAATTTCCCCCCAAAAGCCCCAAATTTTGAACAAATTTCCCCCCAAAAATCCCAAATTTTCCACGATTTTCTCCCAAATCCCCAAATCTTCCCCAAATTTCCCATGAATTCCCCCAAAAACCCCCAAATTCCCCCCAAAAATTCCAAATTTTCCATGAATTTCCCCCAAAATCCCCAAAATCCCAAAATTTTTCCATGAATTTCCCCCAAAATCCCCAAAATCCCAAAATTTTTCCATGAATTTCCCCCAAAATCCCCAAAATCCCAAAATTTTTCCATGAATTTCCCCAAAATCCCAAATTTTCCATGAATTCCCCCAAATTTCTCCCAAATTTTCCCCAAAATCCCCAAATTTTCTACAAATTTCCCCCAAATTTTCTACTAATTTCCCCAAATTTTCCCCAAAATCCCCAAATTTTCCACGAATTCCCCCCAAATCGCCAAATTTTCCATGAATTTCCACCAAAAAATCCCCAAATTTCCCCAATTTCCCTCTAAATTCCCAAATTCCCCCCAAAATTCCCAAATTTTCCAGTAATTTCCCTCAAAAATCCCAAATTTTCCATGAATTTCCCCAAATTTTCCCCAAAAATCCCAAATTTTCCATTAATTTCTCCCAAATCCCCAAATTTTCCCCAAATTTCCCATGAATTCCCCCAAAACCCCCCAAATTTTCCAAATTCCCCAAAAAAATTCCAAATTTTCCATGAATTTCCCCCAAATTTCCCCCAAAATCCCAAATTTTCCACACATTTCCCCTAAAAGCCCCAAATTTTCCATGAATTCCCCCAAATTTTCCCCAAATTTTCCATGAATTTCCCCGAAAATCCCCAAATTTTCTACGAATTTCCCCCTAATTTTCCATGAATTCCCCCAAAAATCAGCAAATTTTCCACAAATTTCCTCCAAAATCCCAAAATTTTCCATGAATTGCCATGAAAAATCCCAAATTTTGCATGAATTTTCCCCAAATTCCCTAAAAAATCCCCAAATTTTCCCTTCGAAATCCCCAAATTTCCCCAAATTTCCCCAAAAACCCCTCAAATTTCCCCAAATTCCACCCCAAACCCCCCAAATTTCCCCAATTTCCCCCAAATTTCCCGGATTTTCCCCAAATTTCCCGGATTTTCCCCAAATCCCCGGATTTCCCCCCAAATCCCCTCACCCTCTCCCCGGGCTCTCCGGGCGCTCCGGGGGGTCCCTGACTTCCGGGGGGTCCCGCCATTCCCTGCAGCGATTTTGGGGCGATTTTGGGGGATTTTGGGATTTTTGGGGTCCGGGGCTTCAGCCCCTCCCCCAAATTGCCCAAAGGGGCGGGGCCTCCGCACCGAGCTGGGGGGGGAGGGGCCGTGAGACCCAAAATACCCGAAAATGGCCCCAAAATGTCCCCAAAATACCCAAAAATGGCCCCAAAAATACCCAAAAATGGCCCCAAAATGTCCCTAAAATACCCAAAAATGTCCCCACAACCACCCCAAAATGTCCCTAAAATGTCCCAAAAAACCTGAAAATGGCCCCAAAATATATCTGAATGGCCCCAAAATATCCCTGAATTCCCCCAAAATGTCCCAAAACCTCCCAAAATCTCCCCAAAATCTCCCTAAAATGTCCTAAAATGACCCTAAAGTGTCCCAAAATACCCAAAAATGGCCCCAAAATGTCTCCAAATACCCCAAAATGGCCCCAAAACCTCCCAAAATCTCCCTGAAATGGCCCAAAATATCCAAAAATGGCCCCAAAATGCCCCAAAAATCCCTGCATGTCCCCAAAATGTCCTAAAATGCCCCAAAAATTCCCCGAAATATCCCCAAAATGTCCCAAGAATGTCCCAAATTCCCCAAATCTCCCCAAAACAGCCCCAGATTTTTGGGCTCTTTTTGGTGTTTTCTGATGTCCCCAAGCCGATTTTGGGGCTATTTTGGTGTTTTCGGGGTGTTTTGGGGCTGATTTTTGGGGTATTTTCGCTGATTTTGGGGTTTTTTGACGCCCCCGATCCATTTTCGGGGCTGTTTTGGGCGTTTTTGGGCTGGTTTTGGGAGTTTTGATTTCAGGTGTCTTTGGGGTGTTTTTGGGCTGATTTTTGGGGTATTTTCGGTGTTTTTGGGGTTTTTTGACACCCCCGATCCATTTTCGGGGCTGTTTTGGGCGTTTTTGGGCTGGTTTTGGGAGTTTTGGGGTCGCTCACCCTCGGGGCCGCTCCGGGTCGCGCTCAGGTCCCGCAGGAGCCGCTCGAGCTCCCCCAGCCCGGGGGGGGGGGGGGGGGGCCGGGGGGGGGGGGGGCCCCGCCCCCGGGCGAATGGCCCTAAAATGTCCCAAAATACCCAAAAATGGCCCCAAAATATCCCTGAATTCCCCCAAAATGTCCCAAAACCTCCCAAAATCTCCCCAAAATGTCCCTAAAATGTCCCAAAATCTCCCTAAAATGTCCTAAAATGTCCCAAAATCTCCCTAAAATGTCCTAAAATGTCCCAAAATCTCCCTAAAATGTCCTAAAATGACCCTAAAGTGTCCCAAAATACCCAAAAATGGCCCCAAAATGTCTCCAAATACCCCAAAATGGCCCCAAAACCTCCCAAAATCTCCCTGAAATGGCCCAAAATATCCAAAAATGGCCCCAAAATGCCCCAAAAATCCCTGCATGTCCCCAAAATGTCCTAAAATGCCCCAAAAATTCCCCGAAATATCCCCAAAATGTCCCAAGAATGTCCCAAATTCCCCAAATCTCCCCAAAACAGCCCCAAAATGTCCCACAATCCCCAAAACCCCCAAAATGGCCCCAAATCTCCCCAAAAAATGTCCCCAAAATGTCCCCAGACCCCTCCCAGTCCGTCCCAGTCCATCCCAGTACCTGTAGAGCTGCTCCGGGTCCCCCCCCGGGCCCTGGGGGGTCAGCGGGGGGTCAGTGGGGGGAGGGGCCCCAAAATCCCCCCAAATTTCCTCCCAAAACCCCCCAAAAATTCCTCAAAATTTCCCCAAAAAATCCCTCCAAAATTCCCCGAGTTTTTCCCAAAATTTTCCAAAATTCCCCCCCGAAAATCCCCCAAATTCCCAAATCCCCCCAAAATTCCCCAAATTCCCCCAATTTTTGAGAATTTTTGGGGATTTTTTTAATTTTTGGGGCTTTTTTAGGATTTTTTTGGGATTTTTTGGGGGATTTTTGGGGATTTTTTGGGGGAAAATGAGAATTTTTGGGGGCAATTTGGAGAATTTTTCGGGTTTTGGGGATTTTTTGGGGGGAATTTGGAGAACTTTTGGGGATTTCCAGAGGCAATTTTGAGGGATTTTTGGCGGGAATTTTTGGGGGGAATTTTTGGGTTGGGATTTTTGGTTTTTTTGAGGAATTTTGGAAGTTGGGATTTGGGGTTTTTTGGGAATTTTGGGTCGGGATTTGTGGGACTTTTTTTATTTTGAGGATGGGATTTGGGAGAATTTTGTGTTGGGAGTTGGGATTTTGGGGTTTTTTTGGGAATTTGGCGTTGGGATTTTGGGGGTTTTGGGAGTTGGGATTTTGGGGAATTTTGGGTGGGTATTTTTGGGATTTTTTGGTGAATTTTGGGTGGGGATTTTGGGGAATTTTGGGTGGGCATTTTTGGGTTTTTTGGTGAATTTTGGGTGGGCATTTTTGGGATTTTTTGGTGAATTTTGGGTGGGGATTTTGGGATTTTTCTCACTTTTTCTCACTTTCGGGACCTCAGCCACGCCCGGCGCTTTCACCCATTTTTTTTATTCGCTCCAAACGCGACCCCAAAACCCGCGGAATTCACCCCAAAAACCCCAACTCCCGCCCCTCCCCCTCCCCCGGGGGGTCCCCAAAATTCCAGAAGGTCCCAGAACGTTCCAGAAGGTCCCGAAAATTCCAGCAGGTCCCGAAAATTCCAGCAGGTCCCCAAATCTTGGGGGGTCCCCGTGACGTCATTGCCAGCCGGGGCGTCCCCAGGGTCCCAAAATTGTCCCCAAGGTCACTTTGGGGTCCCCAAGGTCATTTTGGGGTCCCCAAGCTCCTTTTTAGTGACCTCAAGGTCCTTTTAAAGTCCCCAAAAGTGTCCCCAAGGTCCCAAAATTGTCCCCAGGGGCCTTTTTGGGGTCCCCAAGGTGATTTTGGGGTCTCCAAAATTGTCCCCAAGGTCTTTTTGGGGTCCTCAAAGCCTTCCAGGTGCCCCCAAAGTTCATTCAAGGTCCCCAAAATTGCCCCCAAGGTCCTTTTGGGGTCCCCAAGCTCCTTTTTAGTGACCTCAAGGTCCTTTTAAGGTCCCCAAAATTGTCCCCAAGGTCATTTTAGGGTCCCCAAAATTGTCCCCAAGGTCTTTTTGGGGTCCTCAAAGCCTTCCAGGTGTCCCCAAAGTTCATTCAAGGTCCCCAAAATTGTCCCCAAGGTCCTTTTGGGGTCCCCAAGCTCCTTTTTAGTGACCTCAAGGTCCTTTTAAGGTCCCCAAAAGTGTCCCCAAGGTCACTTTGATGTCCCCAAGGTCACGTTGATGTCCCCAAGGTCATTTTAGGGTCCCCAGAATTGTCCCCAAGGCCCTTTCTTGGTGTCCCCAAGGTATTTTCAGGGTCCCCAAGGCTCTTTAGGGGTCCCCAAAATTGTCCCCAAGGTCCTTTTGGGGTCCCCAAGCTCCTTTTTAGTGACCTCAAGGTCCTTTTAAGGTCCCCAAAAGTGTCCCCAAGGTCACTTTGATGTCCCCAAGGTCACGTTGATGTCCCCAAGGTCATTTTAGGGTCCCCAGAATTGTCCCCAAGGCCCTTTCTTGGTGTCCCCAAGGTATTTTCAGGGTCCCCAAGGCTCTTTAGGGGTCCCCAAAATTGTCCCCAAGGTCTTTTTGGGGTCCCCAAAAGTGTCCCCAAGATCATTTTAGGGTCCCCAAGGCCCTTTTTGGTGTCCCAAAGGTCTTTTTAGGGTCCCCAAGGCTCTTTAGGGGTCCCCAGAAGTGTCCCCAAGGTCACTTTGATGTCCCAAAGGTCACTTTGGGGTCCCCAAAATGGTCTCCGGGGGCACTTGGGGGTCCCCAAAATTGTCCCCAGGGTCTTTTTGATGTCCCCAGGGTCCTTTTTTTGGTCCCCAAAGTCATTTTGGGGTCCCCAAAATTGTCCCCAAGGTAATTTTTGGGGTCCCCAAGCTCCTTTTTAGTGACCTCAAGGTCCTTTTAAAGTCCCCAAAAGTGTCCCCAAGGTCCCAAAATTGTCCCCAGGGGCCTTTTTGGGGTCCCCAAGGTGATTTTGGGGTCTCCAAAATTGTCCCCAAGGTCTTTTTGGGGTCCTCAAATCCTTCCAGGTGTCCCCAAAGTTCTTTCAAGGTCCCCAAGGTCACTTTGGGGTCCCCAAAATTGTCCCCAGGGTCCTCTTGGGGTCCCCAAGGTCATTTTTGAGTCCCCAAAATTGTCCCCAAGGTCTTTTTGGGGTCCTCAAAGCCTTCCAGGTGTCCCCAAAGTTCATTCAAGGTCCCCAAAATTGTCCCCAAGGTCCTTTTGGGGTCTCCAAGGTCATTTTTGAGTCCCCAAAAGTGTCCCCAAGGTCACTTTGATGTCCCCAAGGTCACGTTGATGTCCCCAAGGTCATTTTAGGGTCCCCAAAATTGTCCCCAAGGTCTTTTTGGGGTCCTCAAAGCCTTCCAGGTGTCCCCAAAGTTCTTTCAAGGTCCCCAAAGTCACTTTGGGGTCCCCAAAATTGTCCCCAAGGTCTTTTTGGGGTCCTCAAAGCCTTCCAGGTGTCCCCAAAGTTCTTTCAAGGTCCCCAAAGTCACTTTGGGGTCCCCAAAATTGTCCCCAAGGTCTTTTTGGGGTCCTCAAAGCCTTCCAGGTGTCCCCAAAGTTCATTCAAGGTCCCCAAAATTGTCCCCAAGGTCCTTTTGGGGTCTCCAAGGTCATTTTTGAGTCCCCAAAAGTGTCCCCAAGGTCACTTTGATGTCCCCAAGGTCACGTTGATGTCCCCAAGGTCATTTTAGGGTCCCCAGAATTGTCCCCAAGGCCCTTTCTTGGTGTCCCCAAGGTATTTTCAGGGTCCCCAAGGCTCTTTAGGGGTCCCCAAAATTGTCCCCAAGGTAATTTTTGGGGTCCCCAAGCTCCTTTTTAGTGACCTCAAGGTCCTTTCAAGGTCCCCAAAAGTGTCCCCAAGATCATTTTAGGGTCCCCAAGGCCCTTTTTGGTGTCCCAAAGGTCTTTTTAGGGTCCCCAAGGCTCTTTAGGGGTCCCCAGAAGTGTCCCCAAGGTCACTTTGATGTCCCAAAGGTCACTTTGGGGTCCCCAAAATGGTCTCCGGGGGCACTTGGGGGTCCCCAAAATTGTCCCCAGGGTCTTTTTGATGTCCCCAGGGTCCTTTTTTTGGTCCCCAAAGTCATTTTGGGGTCCCCAAAATTGTCCCCAGGGCCCTTTTTGGTGTCCCCAGGGTCACTTTGATGTCCCCAGGGTCACTCTGGGGTCCCCAAGGTCCTTTTAGGGTCTCCAAAATTGTCCCCAGGATCCTTTTTTGATGTCCCCAGGGTCACTTTGATGTCCCCAAGGTCACTTTGGGGTCCCCAGGGTCATGTTGATGTCACCAAGATCACTTTGGGGTCCCCAGAATTGTCCCCAGGGTCCTTTTTTGGTGTCCCCAGGGTCACGTTGATGTCACCAAGATCACTCTGGGGTCCCCAAAATTGTCCCCAGGGCCCTTTTTTGGTGTCCCCAGGGTCACGTTGATGTCACCAAGATCATTTTTGGGTCCCCAAAATTGTCCCCAGGGTCCTTTTTTGGTGTCCCCAAGGTCACGTTGATGTCCCCAAGGTCACTTTGGGGTCCCCAAAATTGTCCCCAAGATCCTTTTTGGTGTCACCAAGGTCACGTTGATGTCACCAAGATCATTTTTGGGTCCCCAAAATTGTCCCCAGGGTCCTTTTTTGGTGTCCCCAAGGTCACTCTGGGGTCCCCAAGGACCTTTTTGGGTCCCCAAAATTGTCCCCAGGGCCCTTTCTGGTGTCCCCAAGGTCACGTTGATGTCCCCAAGATCACTTTGGGTTCCCCAAAATTGTCCCCAGGGCCCTTTTTTGGTGTCCCCAGGGTCACTTTTGGGGTCCCCAAGGACCTTTTTGGGTCCCCAAAATTGTCCCCAGGGCCCTTTTTTGGTGTCCCCAGGGTCACTTTTGGGGTCCCCAAACCCCTTTTCACCTCGACCCCTCCCCCTCTGTGACGTCACCTCCCTCCTCCATGACGTCACCGCCCTCATCCATGACATCATTCCCCTCCTCAGTGACGTCACCTGCCTCGTCCATGACGTCATCCACACCCTCAGTGACGTCACCTTTGGGAGGTTTGAGGGGGGTTTGGGGACATTTGGGAAGGATTTGGGGACATTTGAGAGGGGTTTGAGGACATTTGGGGACAGGAATTGGGGAGGTTTGAAAGGGTTGGGGACATTTCTGGTGGCTTTGGGGACATTTCTGGTGGCTCTGGGGACACCCGGGGCCGTTTGCGGGGGGGTGGGGACGTTGGGGACACCCGGGGACAGGAGCTGGGGACATCTGGGGACCTTTGGGGACGTTTGGGGGCTCGCGGGGCCACCTGGGGCCACCCGGGGCGGGGTGACAGCGCCCCAGGGGTGTCACCGGGGGTGTCCCCAAGGGGGTCCAGGTGTCCCCAGGTGTCACCAGGGGTGTCCTCGATGTCCCCAAGGGTGTCCTCGATGTCCCCAGGTCCATTCTCGATGTCCCCAAGTGAGTTCTGGATGTCCCCAGGTGTGTCCAGGTGTCCCCAGGTGTCACCAGAGGTGTCCTCGATGTCCCTAGGTTCGTCCTCGATGTCCCCAAGGGTGTCCTCGATGTCCCCAAAGGTGTCCTGGCTGTCCCCAGGTGTGTCCAGGTGTCCCCAGGTGTCACCAGAGGTGTCCTCGATGTCCCCAGGTCCGTTCTGGATGTCCCCAAGGGCGTCCTGGATGTCCCCAAGGGTGTCCTGGCTGTCCCCAGGTGTGTCCAGGTGTCCCCAGGTGTCCCCGTCGGTGTCACCGTTGCTGTCCCCGTGGCCGTTCACCTGCGGGACCCCAACAGCCCAAAGGTGACCCCGGTGTCCCCAAGGTCACCAAGGTGTCCCCAGGTGTCCCCAAGTGACCCTGGTGTCCCCAAGGTGTCCCCAAGGTGTCCCCAGGTGTGACCCAGGCAATGTCATCACTGTCCCCAACAGCCCAGTCCCTAGGTTCGTCCTCGATGTCCCCAAGGGCGTCCTGGATGTCCCCAAAGGTGTCCTGGCTGTCCCCAGGTGTGTCCAGGTGTCCCCAGGTGTCCCCGTCGGTGTCACCGTTGCTGTCCCCGTGGCCGTTCACCTGCGGGACCCCAACAGCCCAAAGGTGACCCCGGTGTCCCCAAGGTCACCAAGGTGTCCCCAGGTGTCCCCAAGTGACCCTGGTGTCCCCAAGGTGTCCCCAAGGTGTCCCCAGGTGTGACCCAGGCAATGTCATCACTGTCCCCAACAGCCCAGTGAGGGGGTTTTTAGGGATTTCAGGGAATTTTGGGGTTTTTAGGGCCGATTTGGGGGTGGTTTGGGGTATTTTTGAGCTGATTTTGGGTATTTTTAGGTTGATTTTTGGGGTATTTTTAGGCCGATTTTTGGGTATTTTTGGGGTGGGTTTGGGTATTTTTAGTTTGATTTTTGGGGTATTTTTAGGCCGATTTTTGGACTGATTTGGGGGTGGTTTTGTGGGGATTTTGGGGTATTTTTAGGGTTGTTTTGGGCTATTTTTATGGGGATTTTTGGGGCTGATTTCAGGGTGTTTTTGGGTATTTTTAGTTTGATTTTTGGGGTATTTTTGATGTGATTTTGGGGGTATTTTTAGGGTGATTTTTGGGGTGATTTGGGGGTGTTTTTGGGTATTTTTAGTTTGATTTTTGGGTATTTTTAGGGTGATTTTTGGGTATTTTTGAGGTGATTTTGGGGTTGATTTGGGGGTGTTTTTGTGGGGATTTGGGGGTATTTTTATGGTGATTTTTGGGCTGATTTCAGGGTGTTTTGGGCTATTTTTAGTTTGATTTTTGGGGTATTTT